GCTTGCTTTTGTTAATAAGATAATCGACTTTAAAAATTTAAACGAATAAAGTTCATAGATCATATAATAATATGAATTAAAAATCTCAATTTTGGTTAGTGAGGTCCCGTAAGGTGATTTTAATAGCTTAGCTCCTATATTCAAACTTATTTATATTGATTGCTATTGCTATCTTCTTCAGTAAACTATTCATCTCAGACTAAAATTAGTTCTAATATTACTAAATAAAGGAAAAAAAACGTATTAATATAATATTATTAATCTTTAATCTATATATAGAATTTTATCTAAAGACTAACTAATCACAAAACAAAAAAATGAACTATTAATACTTTATACATAAAATTATAATTCGTAAAAAAGTGATCAAAAAAAATTTTTATTCAGAGAAATTCAGAGTCTAAAGCTATAAAATCTAAAAAAAATAAATAAATAAATAATATTTAAGATTTATAAAAGAAAAGAAAGAGAAAAATAAAAAAGAAAAAGGAAAAAAGGAAAGGTAAAAAAAAGAAGAGAAGAAGAGCAAAAAAGAAATTTTGCAATTAGAGTGATATAAATGTAAATCACATAGGATTTCATAGGTAAAATTATCATCAGGTAAAATGATTAGTATTTTTTATTTGTATAGCTCGAGACCCCTAATTGCAGTAACTTTCAATATCAGGTGCCAAATTTATTTTTTAAAAAAATCACGTAATTCTGATTAGCATTAAGAATTTATTATAATTTTGGCTAACTTTAGAAAAATTATACTTTTTTACGGCATATTCTGCTTGTTTTACATTTAATCCATTTCTATATGCATCTATATATCTATAAGATTTTCTAGCAAATGCTTTTATTTTCAATAAAAAAACTTGATTTAACGTAATAGAAACTACTTGTTACAATCTATTCCATATGTAGTCACAATTATTTCTTGAATAATGTTTTGCAGCTCTCTAATACATTTTAATGTAATTAAGTTCACAATGAAATTTTGGATAAAAAATCACTTTGTGACTTTTGTGTTCAATAATTTCTTGAATCATACATTTTTGAGCAAGAAAGTCAGGTTGATTTTCTAATATATATTGCATACAGCATTGATTATCCAATAAATTCTTATTTTTATAAAAGCCTTTTATACCTGGACTTAATAGTTTACATTCGTATAAAATTTGTTTTATTCCTTTTAGTTTTTCACGAAAAGATTCTTCAGGAAAATCATTAGGAAAATTCATAAATTGGACTTGACCATTAAAGCAGTGTTCCTCATTTTTGGTTATTTTCCACCTGATCCTACATTCATACAGTTTGCAATAAGAGCATTAGAGCTAAATGCACTATGAGAAGTGGAATTATCAAATGTGAAAATTGCAACAGCTCTGGGATGAGTTGCTTCAAATATTGGAATTGCACGATCAATAACCTATGAAACCAATAAATTAAGTTAATAAAAAAATAATTAAAATAAAGTAAAATGAAACAAATTACCTGTTGAACTAATAATTCAATGTTTCACCAACCATCATTATTTATTCCTAGATTCATAATTACTCTAGCTTCGTATGGAATATTGTTTGCACTTTCTAAAAGTTTTTGTTTTTTATTTAATTATAATTGTCTAACTATTTCACATAAAAAGTCACTAATATGAATAGCTCTTCCTTTTCCTTTTTTATGAAGAGGTTTCTCTCCATGTGATGTCTATCCAGATCGCCTTCCATCATTAGAATGAAAAGTGTTTCGTCATGAGTTACCAGAATATGCAAATGTTTATTCTCTTGTAAATCAGGATTAATTTGAATTTCCAAATTGTTATCATCAAATTTCGGCATTAATTTTTCATAATTGGATTAATAAAAGTCAATTCAATTAAAAAAGAATTTATTTTGAAACAAAAAAACTACTAAAAATTTTTACCTTGCCATTTGTTTCAGAAACTTTAACCTATATTTAATTATATCGGATCTTTTATGACTATCAATATAAATACCTTTAGTAAATCGTTTAAACTCAAACCCTATTTTCTTAAGCTATTTTCTTGCAGTTTTTATGCTAAATTCAAGAATTTAATTAAATTTTCACTTGGTAAAATAAATTATTTAATTCAAACCTTATTGTTGTTTCTTGTTTAATTCTAAGTGACAGAAAAATAATATTCTTTACATAATCAATGAAATCAGCCACATAAAATTTAAATTTATTTTCATGTAAATATGTTGCTATCTGAATTTAGATATCTTCATCATTAAGTAAACTTTGAATTTTGCAATGTTTTTCCCATTTAGAAATTGGAATAGTCTTAACATTTCTTACTAATTTTTCCCATGCTTTAAGATAACGTGTGAAATATGATCCTTTATTTAATTGCCATGCAATATAGAGGCTTGCTTTAATTTTTAGCTCTTTATGGTTAACAAGCCTTAGATACTGCAACAAAGCAGTTAATCTTAGCTTATAATCACCATCAAGATTGCTTTGCTTTAATTCCTTTTCAACGAATTTAATTAATTGTCCATATTCGCAATGATCTTTATGTTCAGATTTCTGATTATCAGATTGGTTTGATTCCTGATCAGATTTATCGGGATCATTAGATATATGAGGTTGAAGTTGAGATGGATTAAAGAAATTCGTTATTGGTTGACCATTTTTAGCCAAAAGTTTTTTAGCTTGTGCTCTTTTTCTTTTTTTTGTTCGAATGGAATTTTCAATATAAACAGCTTTTTGGAAAGGAGACACATAGTTTTTCATTTTATTTAATAAAATTTTAATAAAAGTTTCAGCCTTTTCATCTAACTCATCGTCTTCTCATATGACTTTTTCTTCATTTTCTCACTCTAAATTATCATCAATATCTGAATTTTCTAAAGGTATAGTAAAGTTTTGATTTTTTTTTCATTTATCTTTAGCTAAACTTTTTATTTGTTTTTCGCATTTTGAAAGTGGTGGTATAACAAAATTCCAAAAAAAATTAAGTTCAGAAAAATGATTTTTCAGCTCATTTAAGCAATAAATGCGAAAATATTATTGGTGCTAAATTTTGAAAATCTACTATATACAATTAAGGAAATTTTTTATCTAGAGATTTAATAATAGCTTTTTAAGGGGTGATCGTATTTAAAAAATCTCGTCGTAATTCGAAAGCTAGAGATAAAACACATTAAAGTACGATGGTACTTTAGAAATAACTTTATTTTTCAGAGAGTAGATACATTTTAAAAAGTGGATACCAAATTTGCTGTGACTAGAGATCTCGAGTTGTATAATCTTTTTAAATTGAGTAATTATTAAAAAGGTTTTGCAAAAAAGAAATGTAAAAGAAAGAAAATAAAGAATACTTAAAAAGATTATTTTTTATAGATTCCTGATGCTAAAGTGAGTGGAACATATATTATTTATGCATATTTTTAATCTAAAAAAAGAAAATTTAATAAAATTTATGTGACATTAATTAAGACAGAGGTTTCTCTAAATAGCTTCTAAAGGTAAAAAGATGTATTCTATCAAAAAGAATATTTCGCAAGCTTACTAAACAATAATCTAGACTTATATGAATAGGTAATTATTCCTATTTTTCCTTAAAGTGAAGATTAAAGGATGTGTTGTTAACGTAAAAGGTGAAGCTGAAAAATTCAAACAGATGATATGCCCTTGCGTTCTCTAAAACTATTTAATATTACTTGCTATGTTATCTAACTTTCTAAAGATTTCCATATGTAAAAATAAACAAAGTTTTATAAAAAACAGTAAAAAATAAATTTTCTTTTCTTTGAAAATTATGGTTAGGTAGAAAAGGAGAAAGAGTATTTATCTTTCTCAATTTTTCTATATTTGTAATTATAAATTTATTTAATAAATCTCATTACAGTATCACATTATTAAAATTCAAAAAAGGGATAAATGTTGATGATATTAGGCATGCATGTTTTTTTGCTTATAAATGGTATATCAAGTCTCATGATTCATTGTAATGGCTAATTTCTTAAATATAAAATTTACTGAAATAATTTTACTGAAACTTTGAATATGAAGGTAAAGTTTATCAAGAATAGTCTTAGAAGAAGATATCTAGAAGCTTACATAGATTTGTTTTATTAATTTCAAAGATAAAATGGGAGGGTTTCTAGGAAAATCAGGTTCTGAGAAATTTTTGACTTAAATTAAGAGCTTAATACATTTTAATCTAAT